TTTTTTTTGCTTTTGCTGGGAGGCGTTTTAATGGAAAACTGTGCACTGATCGATTTGTTGACGTTTTCAACGCTTTGTCTTCCTTTTATACCCTTTTTGCGCTGGGCCCTCCAACGCTGTCAATTTGCTGTAGCCAGCCAGTGCAGTATTTATATTGATTAATTTTGAAAATTGTTTCACTTGAAATATAAAGCGCTGCTTACATTTCGCTAGCAATAAAAAGGTAATTTATTTAATGGAAAGCTAATTGAAAATGGCTCTGTGAGTGTATCTTGTATAGGTCATGACTAACTTGTATTTCGTCTTATTGAGTGCTCTGTCGCATTACTAATACGCACTGTGACCGCTTTGAATAGATACTCCCAGGGCTCTCATAATCTTGTCCAAATGGCTTTTGTTCGAATGAAATAGTGTTGAATTTCTGCTCACAAACAGCCGCACACACACACACACACACACACATGTAGAAAGTCGAGCATCCTTAACAAATGCACGAAATGGCTTTTAAACGAGCCCGACGCCGTGCAGTCTGGCTGGCTGGCTGGCAGAGTCGCGGTCCTGCATCAWCGCTTCATTCAGCTGACGCTGACGCTGACGGTGACGCTGGCGCTGGCGCTGGCGCTGCCGTTGGCATGTGATGATTTGTTCGCACATAATGAAACTCATCAGCAGCAAGGCAGCGAGCACTGCCATGGATTCTGGAGGTCGACTGCCGCATTGGATTTCGCGGCAGGGCGTGAATTGGCTTGGCATAAATTCAAAAAAATGAAACTAGTAACGAAATTCCACTTGCCAATGCTCGTCTACAGCATACTCTACAGAGAATAATTGGGCATAGCCCAGGAAGTAAGATAATATCTAAGCGATACTTAAGTATCTCTAGATAACCTAGTTGGAATACCCAGATAACTGACGCCATATTTAATAAGCCTGATTTACCTTTTTAAAAAATCCCTAACATTTACAGAGTATTAAAAATATATAGCCAATGCGACAGCTACGGCAAAAGAAAATATTGTAAAAGCATTTTCCAGTTTCATTTTTCATGACTCAGCGCCGACCGCACTCCGACGTGCGCGTTTTTCCTTCTTTTACTTTTTTCGTTCTTCTCTGCTTTCTGCGATTTACTTAATTTGAAGTGAGCCCGAGCCATCAAGCAACTGCTTTTAAAATCAATTTGGCTTTTATTTTTCTTGCGACTTGTGGCTTTTACTGCCCGCTTGGATCACGCTGTCTGGGCAGCTTTTCTTTTAGGTTTTCCCTCGGACCGCAGCACTATTTATGCACATATTTTGCAGTCATTGTGGAACCACTCTCACTCGGACATTAAGTCCGAAGAGGACAAATAGCAGCACTCGCCGACCTTTGTCATCGGCAGCAGAAGAATGAAAATCGGTGAAAATCACATGAATGAAAATCGGTGCACATACTTGCATAACGTAATCCCTTTCACTGCTCACATGCAAAGCGTAATAGATATGCGAGTGCAAATATATACATATACCTATATATATCTATCCTATATTAATACATATCTTATTGACATAATCAGTGGACTGAAAGCAGTTTAATTTACCTCCAATCCATCAGTATTTACTCAGCAAATTCATTAGCAGTTATTTTCTCTGCCCCGCCGCAAAGACCGCAACAGTTGTGTCTGCCACCAAAAATGAGGGCAATGCATTTATCCCGAGGGTTCCACACAGTCGAGCTGCGAATCCAGCCAAGCAACGGGTTGCCATGCGCTTGTTTTTGATGTGACGCTGATATTTCAAAGTGGAGTTGGAGCATCAAAGCTGTGTATATATAACCATATATGTATATACATGTGTGCATGTGTGTGTGTATGTGTATAAGCAAGTGTATATGGCAAACAGGGCCAACATAATTATGCACAAACTATTTATACCCTATAAGCAAACATATTAACGCCTCAGCTGGGGGTTGGTAATTAAATGAAGAGAATGTGCGATGGCAGCTTACTAAAATAAATATAAGCATTTATACAATTTAGTATATACTTGAATTATGATTTTAGCCACAAGCTCATAAGTCACAATCGGAGTTAAAAAATTTTATTTTTATATTTTTATATGCTAATTAGTGTTGGAGCTTAAAAGATTGGTTGAATTACTGTATTGTTAAAACAATATTAATATTATTAGTAAAATTATATAAGCTTTAAGTAAGCATATAAATATATTTATGAAAATTTATCTGGAAATATTCCCAATTTTTTTCAAATTCTTCAATAATTATTAACATCAAATCCAAAGGCTTATAATATTTAAAGTTCTTTGACGACCTGACGATCCATAAAATGACGTCTTTCAAGGCTTCGCCTCTCATACCTAGGTTAGAATTTGGGTCCCAAATTTATTTGCCTAAACATTAGGAACAAACCCTCTAAGTTTCATTTCACCAAAGCTTGACTTGCATATTCAAAATGATTCTCTCCCAAAATATTCCATTCTAGAGCTATACAGATGCACATCAAAGAGGTCCATTTAACTTAAGTCCATGCTTAGGATATGCAGCTGCAATTAAATAAACTGCAGTCACTTTTCGTGCTGGCTTTGCCCAGTCAAAAATAGAACAGGCATCAAGTAGTCTAAGCAGTTATTTAAAAGTTAGCTTCGATTCCATTTTCAACAGAGAGCTTTGCCAGCATTATATCAATGCAGAACAAAGCGCATAGATGCATTGTAGGGCATCTTGTAGCTGAACACTAAACAGCAAAATATAACGGTTCTTTTTTTCTTCATTGTGTACTTGCGGTAATTGCGTAGCATTTTAAGCATGCTGGCAGCACTCACTGCTGCTGCTGTTGTTGCTGATGTTGCTGCTGCTGTTGCTGCTGTTACTTGACACATGTCAGTCAGTCACTCCGTCACTCATTCCGTGCGCTTGGCTTTGGAGCGTGGCCAAGCGGAAGGCTCAGCAGCGCTGGCAAAAGGCATAGCAGCGCTGGGCGCTGAGTGGGCGTGATTCAGCTAGCGTGAATTTGACTTTGTGTATGCGAAACATTAAATGCACTTGCATCGCGTTGCCTTGCCTCCGTCGGCTGCTGCTGCCGCTGCTGCTGCACTGTTTGCTGCTGACAACAGCAATAATGCAGCACTTAATGTGCCAAATGTCGGTGTTTGTGTGTGTGTGTGTGTGTGTGTGTGTATGACTGCCTTTATATAGAATAGCCATTGCTGGCATTTGAAGCATTACAAGAGCATTTCTTGTGGCACTTTAGCTTAAACATCAAATATTACGCATACGCCCCGATGACTCGACGAATAGCACTTTGCCAGCAGAAATTTTCATTGCCAGCACGTAATTTACATATAAAGCCATAGCCATTGCCATAGCTGGCGCAGAGCTGGCCAGATTTATGGACTTTGAGCGAGAGCCAGAGCGAGCCACCTAGCAGCTTGTCAATCGCAACGCTACTCTGATTTTGATGTGGATTTTGATGTTAATGCTGATGTTGAGTTATGGGCGCACAGCGAACAAATACCAGCTGCAAAACGGAAATTACATTTCGCTTAGTTCGCAAACTCGGGCGAGCAATTAAAGCCGGTGCCACTGGGCGGTGCCAGCCGGGGGCCTGGCATTAAACTTTGCCCATTGCATTAGAAACTGGAGCGTTAAAACAAAGCACACACTTTAAAGTATTTCTCTTAATTTGGATTTGAAGTTTGATCGATATACGGCGCAGTGTGCAATGTGTGGTGCCAGCCCAGCCCAGCCCAGCTCAGCCCCGGCCAGCCCCGGCCAGCCACAGCAACTGGCGCGGACCAGGCATTAGAGGTCATGCGAGTGCCTGCAGGTCCGCATCATTTTAACGGCAATCGTCGCGCCGAGCTGTTGATGTGCGCCATCAATTGATTCGTTTGCATTTCTTTTTTGTTGTTTCGCTCGGCATGGCTGCGTCTGCTGCATCCGATGCTGCGACTCTGGCGAGCAGCGATGAGGAGCTCACGCCCGCTGGCGTTGGCCTGTCGGGCGGCCAACGGGACTACAGCGATGCGCGTTTGGATCGCGTGGCCGCCTACACGACGACCACGATGCGTCTAAAGCCGGACAAATGGGCCAAAATGATGCAGCACGATGAGCTGCGGGTGAGTCCTCCTCAGCTTCACACATTGCACTCTGCACACTAAGCTGAGTCCGGTTGCCAATGCAGCACATTGTCATGGACTGGCTGCACGGACGGACGCGAGTGCTGGTGATGACGCTCAGTCCCGGCGGCGAGCTGGTGCCCAGGGGCTGCATCAGCGACCTGTACCTGGGCTATGCGCTGCCGAGCACCGGCACACGGTCAACCGCTGCGACGGCGACGGCGACGATGACGACGGACTCCACTGCCACGGCTGCTGTGGTGGCGGCGGCAACGGCTGCTGGCGCATTGGTGGTGCCGCTACCGCCCGCTTCGTCCAGCTTCACCACCTTGGATGGGGTGCCGCGCGGCAAGTGCGCCTACTTCATACGCCACAATGTGGGCGTGCCGCTGACAGCGGGCAACTTCCAGAGCTCCATGGTCTACGGCGACTTTCCGGTGCACAGCAAATTCGAGACGATGTCGCTGCTGTTCGACGAGGTGCTGCAGCCGCTGCTGGAGGGGGCCGAGGGCGGCTGGCCGGCGCCCGTGCGCCAGGATCTGCAGGCGCGCGTCAAGGAAGTGCGCAACACACTGACCGAGGTGGGTCCGCTCAATCCAAGTCCTTTATCTCGCCATATTAATCTAATTGAGTGCAGCGAGGCGCATGGGGTCGCCAGCAGGCAAACGCTCGCCTTTGTCCCCATGTATTTGGCTTAATTGGGCAAAGTTTTCATGTGTCTATAAGCGCTATTTATACTTTATTGTTATCCCCCACAGATTAAGGGCAAGACCAACAATCGCACAATTTTATCGTTATTAGTTGCGCCAACAGTCGTCGAGGATGTGTCTGGCCACGTGAGCCGGGGGTAAGTAGGAGCTGTGCTCCAACTTTGGTCACACTCAATGGCCATTGTCTCAAGGGCTATGTATTTCGTCCTTTGCCCGCATCGGCTGCTGCGTCATCGCTGCTGGCAAGGAGCGCTTGTTGGCCGAGAAAGAGAAAGAGAGAGAGTGAGAGAGAGAGAGAAGTTCAACGGGAAAGTAATCATATAAATCGAACTGGGAAAGCAAACAACTTTATCGCATGATTTTGCGTCAATTTATTATGTATTTTCAATAACTTGCTAAATATCTCAAGTTGGCAAGAAATTTTCAATTTGGCCAACAACTAAGCGTCTCAAAGCAACGGAGTCTTGATTGCTTTTACTTCATCCTTTAATTAAAACCCAATACGACTAATTGCAAACGAATTTACCGAAGCTCTATCAAAGCCAATGCTGCAAAGAATTCCTAACTGTAAAACCATTTAAATTAATCAGCATCAAATAGCAACCCATCCAAGTGAGACACAAATTGCTGCACAAATATAGTCTGAGGAGAGAGAAAGAAAGGGGGAGAGAGAGAGAGTATGAGTATGTGTATGAGAATATGCGCTTATCAAATACCCTGTTTAAGGAAATTCCATATCAAAGATGTAGCTATGCGCCAATATGAAGTCTTTTCCTTAATTCCAATTAGAATATACATTTTTGAATAGGAAAATTTAAGGCAGACATAGAGAGTATCTTTAAATTAATATTAAATTATTGACTGGAAATTCATATAAATGAGCTTTGGTATAGTCGACTCTTAAGTTATGCAGGATATCTCACAAAAAACAATTTCATAAAGTATGAACATTGAATATCTTTAAATTAAATTCCATTCCAAGTCGAGTGCTAAGCCCGCTCTTTGTTAATTCAATTTATATAAATTTGTAGAGGCGTATAAATTGCAATAGAGAAATATTTAAAACTCTCAAGTTGTTGGCAAAAATAAAGATTAAGGGGTTTTGAGTAGGCAAAAAGAAAATTGATATTATGATTTTCTTATTAGCATTTGCTCACATATAAAAGCCAGTTTATTCTACGACAATAATCGGGTATAAAGAGCTTTGCAAATGCAAAGAATATTTAATATCAACTGACAATTATTTGGTCATATCAATTTGCAAGTCGTCAGACAAGAAAGTTAGCAATATTTGGCAAAGTTATCAACAAATTAGCTCAGATGCAAAATGAGATTTGTTCGCATGCTGCACAGCCTCATAGCTGCCGTTACAACTAACTGCACAGTTTCATTATATGCATTTTTATATGCATATTTTAGACAGCAGAGCAAAAACAGAAGCAACTAAAATGCGCAAAACAGCAAGAGGCTGAAAGAGAGAGAAGATGGAGGAATAGAGAGAGAGAGAGAGGGAGAGAGGGAGAGAGAGCGAGAGAAAACTGGCAAATCGTTGCATGGCCAAGTGCAAATGCCTGAAAATTGGGTCAATAATTATTTTTCTTTTTCCCCATTCAATGAGAAAGTTGCATTCGATTGTTGCAAAACTTTAATTGAAATTGAAAAACCTAAAAAAAAAAAATAAATAGAGCAAATTTTAATTATCCTTATATACCAATAGCAATCTAAGGCCAGCCTTGGATACGAAATTTCGCACTCTATTGGAGGAGATGTTCATCAATTGGACAACGCAAATGCACGACATTGTCATGGAGCGCTCCGAGGCCGTTGGCCTAACCACGAGCACCGCCACCTCCAGCTCGCCCAGCAAGCACTTGTATGTGGTCGCATTACCGGCTCAGGAGATTACGTTCTGGGCGAACCGCAAGCTCAACTTACAGAACATCTACGAGCAGCTGCGCGAGCCCATGCACAAGGCGCTGGCCCACATTCTGGAGCGCATCGAGTCCGTCTACTACGAGCCGTACGCCAAGGCGTTCCGCCAGCTGGTGACCGCCTGGCTGGAGGCGCAGGACGTCTCGCTCTGGCTGCAGCCCTTTCAGCGTCACACGGCCGCCTTCAACTCGGTGCAGTTCAGCAATGCCCAGGAGCTGATTGCGCCGCTGGTCCATGTGCTGCACCTGCTGTGGAGCAATGCGCGATTCTACCGCAGCACCCAAAGGATGAGCGTGCTGCTCAGCTGTGTCTGCAACATGCTGGTGCATCGCGCCGCCGAGGACTTGGAGTTCCCGCTGCTCTTTCAGGGCGACGCCGACGAGGGACTGCAGCGCATCATCAAAACGGGCGAGGTGCTGGAGTTTTTCAAGTAAGTGCCAAACACATCCACTCAACAACACTTCTGACCATATATGGCTGCTCAGGCAGCGCATGCTCGAGTACAAAGAGCGCTATGCCAGCAGCCAAGTGCTGTTGCCAGCTTTGCCCAGCTCTTCGACGGCAGCTGCAGCTGCCGGCTCCGCCTCACCGCCGGCCGACGACCAGCATCAGTTGTGGCGCTTCTCCAGCGAGCAAGTGTTTGGGCAAACACTTGATGGCTTCCTGCTACAACTATCGGAACTGCGTCACGTCTTTGAGGCAGCCGTGCAGTTCCAGCAGCTGGAGAAGCTCGAAATTGGGGGACTGCGCGGCAAGCTGCTCACAGCCCGCATCAGAGAAGTATGTTTCCTGCCATGAATTTCATCCAAATTGCGCTATTAACACACCCCCTCTATCTCCTTAGATCTACAGCGAATTCAAGCTGCTCTTCGAGCAATGGACCAATGTAGACATCGACCTGGCTGCGCCCGTCGCCCACAAGTGGAAGTGCTTCAAGCGCGAGCAACGCCTCTTCTTCCAGCGCATGCAGCAACTGGAGCAGAAGCTGGCCACCGTGCTGCTGCAGGCCTTCGAGCAGTGCTACAGCTGGGTGCACCTGCTCAAGCTGACCCTGATGTTCGGCTGTCTGCTGCAGCGGCGCACCGTTCAATCGGAGCTAATTCACCTGCTGCCACACATGCTCAGCATCTACAACGATGAGCTGCAGCAGCTCGAGCTGAGTGTGGCTGACGTCCTTTTCAACTATCAGTGTCACGGACTCAAAGCGGTGCCCGTGGCAGGCAACTTTCCTCCCATAGCTGGCGCCATCATGTGGCTGGAGCAGCACTTGCATCGCTGCGATGACCTCGGCGCAAAGGATCTAATCGATCTCATCCAGACGCTGTAAGTAGTATAG